AACACCGCAATGTATCACGATATATTCTGTACTGTGCAGAGATGTGAAAATGTTTAGTGGGACGGCACACGGGCAAAAGGGGTACCTACTCTGCTCGCTCCGTTTGATCCCGTCTCTGTGACACTCCTGAAATCTCCGCCTTTCAGTTCTTGGCGACACGCGCTGACATAGTAGTGGGATCTCCATATCCGCAGGTGATACGTTTCAAAAGCTACCACGGATACACGAAACCGCGAATGCGCTATTGCTTTGAAGTTCGTCGGATCGCTCTATCTCACTTGGTCTCGATATGTATCTTCGCTCTCTTCGTCACACGATGCATTATAATCTGATTTGTAGGTGCGACAGTTTCGGTCAATGATAAAAATACATAAGGCAGTGCCGTTCAGTTATTGCCCGTACGGTCAGTATTAAGCTTTTGCGGGCGAAAAAAATCGGCGGGCAATAAGCCACGACTTCTCGGGCAACGGTGCGTGTGTGTATGTAAGTATGTAGCAACCATCGTCCGTCTTAAGAAGGAGAATTATGTTTCGAAGATATGTAAGTAACACAAGCGTTTTTTTTGTTCATTCTGCTTTAATGTATGTGACATCAATAGCCCGCGACTTCGCCCTCAGCTCTGTCCGCGAGCATCGGCGCTCGTATTCCTTTTAAATTCTCGCCAATTCTAGCCAATTCTAGCCAATTTCTCATCTCTGCACGGTAATACCTCCTTCAGAAATAATTTGCGAACTTATACTACGCGAACTTATAGGACATTATTTGCTTCTTTCAACGAGTACCATGTACACCTAATTTACTTGAGCCTTCTTTCAAATTAACTCTTATTATAAGTAAGTCCAGTAATAACTGTCCTAGGAATGTTATAAATAACAGAAATGTTTCAGTTATTATTTTTAAACGATACTTTCTTAAAATCCATTGGTTATATATAAATTCTCCAAATGTAAATAACATGTACATTGATATTATTTTGGAGTCACAGTTTTCTCTTTATTACTACACAATGGTTTACTAATGCTTCCATAAACATAAAGATAAGTTCGATAAAACTCTGGTAAGTTATTTTAGCAGGTTTAAAAGTAACTATCCGTGTTCTCAGATATGTTTTACATCGTTGAATAGTAAAAAGATTGTAAGTTCGTTTTCCTTCGGCCCTTTTACTACCACTGCAAAATGAACGTGCAGATCTCAAAGTGGAATATTACATTGCTCGTGACATTACGAGCGATCTTTTTATCTTGTCTCGAAAATGCGTAATATTGTTTCTTACAGTATGCACTACGATCGCGTAATCAGCTTTGCCTTCTTTTGAAATGATCCAAAAGAATGTGTTATATTCACGAGCAGTTCCATCGAGCGTGAAACAATTAATAGTCTGTTTTATAAAAATTCTTTGCTCAAGGAGAATGTGAATATCGTGAATGAAACGGAGGAATCGTTAGATTAAGATTTATGTGTGAAATTATATACTTTCATTTCGAGATCGTTTAAAAGTACTCAATTCAGAAAAAAATAGCAATAAAATATCCTTATTAATGTACACATTTTTTTTCTTTCATCGATTCTAATATGCAAACTACAGATGCTTTTTTTTTTTAACTTTCCTCTACAAAACTCAAGTGGTTTCCGGTGAAACTTTTGCAAAGTAATATTCATTTAAAAATAGAATAAGTCTATTTCGATATTACTACTGTCGTAATAATTTGCAAATGAAATTGAAACACGTGCATTTATAGTTATACTTACGAGAAAAATAATAATGGTTATTTTTTAGTTTCCACATGAATTTTCAATTAGTGTGTGAATTCAGATAACAGCATGGAAATTAAAATGTCTGGCCTGTTTCGTTCTATTAATGCGGAATTCGATAATTATACTTTAGAGTTACATATTTCTAACGATAAGCTTCGTACTCCAATTATGCATTCAGACCGGCAGATAAAAACACAAAGCATAAATTCCGCTATGCAATCTATTTATGCAAGGTGTTCCAGTTTGTGATGGAAGATAAGAGGAAATAGAACGAAATAATTGTTATATCTTGCAAGAAGAAATACTTCCTTCATTATTATAGCTAATTCCTTTGACTTTTACCATAAATATTCACAGAGAAAATTAGGTAATAAAGTTCAAATAATATAAGTGTAGTTTTATATCGTATGACATGAAAAAGGAAGCTAACATGTAATGTTTATTAATGACAATATTAGATTTACTTTTGTTTCCATAAACAATAAATAGATTTTTCTCTTTTCATAAATTTTTTTGCGATATTATTCTTTTGTAGTACATATAGTAGAACAACCAGATGAGAATTTGCAGCATGTCAAGAAAGACGTGATTCAATTTGTAATAGCACATTGGTATTCATTTTGGAACACTCTGCCGACATGTTACAATGTGTACTTAAACTGAAAATTGAACAGGTGTTTTGAAACTTATACTAATACAATAACTTAACTATCGTATCAATTTAAATACTCAATTCCAACATATTGTACATCTGTAAGCATTATATTGAAATGTGTTTTAAGTGTAAAGCTTATGAGCTTCTCATTTTTTTTTTCATACATTTTTAATAAAATGTCTATCTTAATATATTATTTAACTAAGTTTGCAAGTTTCAATTTACACCCTTGTCTTGACTTACATTTATAGACAATATAGTAAAGTTAATGGCCTCTTATAATTCAAAATTTCTATATCTTTCCCGAAAGACACATTGTTACGAAAGTTTCATACACTTACATACATGTTTGGAATCTTTAAACCATCAATTTCGAACAATACATTGAATAATTCTACGCAAATTACGAATCACATGTTAGGTTTTAATTTCATATTTATCATCGATCAATTACCAATTATCAACTTAAGAGGCAATTCTGATTCAAAAGTCTTTTATGAAATTTTTTAAAATAGTGGTTATTTATATTCAACATGAAAGTTATTCGTTGACAGTTTCAGTATGAAATGATACTTTGTTCTGTGAAAGAAATTAATTTCCGCTATTTGAAAGATTACAATTTTTTTCGAACTGCTAAACCAGAATTTACTGTTACTAAATTTTCACCCAGTGACTTGAAAATCTGCAAGTTAAAGATTTAAAAATTTTTGTCGCACACTATTTCACAAAGAATTTCATTTTTCATCGATCCGTGCTCCTCATGACCGTCGGGGTATATTCAGTTTCAGCCATACGCTATACAAATACATGGGCTGTATTATATTACTTTATATACAGGGTGCCTTACCTAGCTTTGTCACCTGAGATATTGCTGCTATAATTAAAATTTCATAAAAATGTCTCTTACAAAAGCTGCATAGTTTTATAGGAGCTAACGTATAGCAATAATAGTTTTATTCTGTTTAATCGTCGGCTCTTAAGAGGTTTACTTGTTTGTCAACATGTTACAAGTGTTAAATTCGTTTTTAAAATGACTACCGTGTACAGACAAATAAAATATAGCGTTGTAACTAAAAAAACAAAGTGGACCTTCTTATCTCATCAAGCTTTCTCAATAAAATAAATCTATTGTTACTATACACTGATATTCATGAAACTACTCAACTTTTGTAGGAAATATTTTAATAAAATTTTAATTGAAACAGAAATATTTCAGGTAATAAAGTTAGGTGAAACACCCTGTATAATCATATGTATAGTATACATATATCAGGTGTATATGTATATATACATGAATGCATATCGATAGTCGTTTCATTCAATAAACATAGTACTTGATACAAATACGAATCACTGGAGGCTTCCACCGAGGCTGTTGGTGCTAGTTATCAAGCGCTCGCTACTATATATATATTCATAAAATCGATTTTAGCTAGATATCTATACTTCAACGTCTTTTCTTGGAAAGAAAATAATGATCAAGGTTCAAAGTGGATGATCGATCGTTTGTTTAGCAATGAAACGTACCTTTACATGTCTGTTTCTTATTACACAGTACAACACTTTAGATTCCGTGGCATAAAAAATTGAAATTTGTATATTGAACCGCTTTGGGATTCTGATAAAAAGTTTATAAATAATTTACAAATTTTGGACATACGCCTGTCTTCCGTATGCTTCGGACACACTTTACGAGAAAATCTATAACACTTTGTATATTTTTTATTTTATTATCTTCGTTCTCCTTTGTTGGATCATTCTTATAATACTTGTCTGTACCGTAAGAAACGTAAATAAAGTTCTGTTTAATTAATCGTTTAAAATAAAGGGTTTAGTGATCAGCACCGAAATATTTCACGTAGAAATAAACCAATATTAAATCAATGGCACATACACAGGGTGTCCCAGTTTTTCCAATCAAACTTTGTTAGTACTTTCTATGGGTATAAGTATGAAAACACACCGTCCTGAACGTGTTAGCAAAGCTTCAAATGATCTATGATCGAATAACATTCTTTTCCTATTTACACCCATAGAAGACACTGATAAAGTTTGATCGGAAAGAAACTGTGACACTTTTCATAGTTTACAATTATCAATTGAACAATTTTCTAATACAGAATGAAATACTTCTAATTGAGAAATGAAAAAATATCTGATTTCATAGAAATTCCAATCAAAAGTGTCGTAAAAATCGATAATTATGACGATGTTACTGTAAGTTTACATCGAAAATACAAAATGACGTGATCAAGTGTAATCACAGAACACACTTAACTACCTTAATGCAAATGACTATGCGAAAGCTAGGAATGAAATTCCATATTGACTAGCTCAAAGTACGATGATCAGTTACGATTGAGCATGATCCAGGCTCGCTACACACACGATACACACGTCTATGAATTCAATTCCAGCACAGGATCTTCTCGTGTTCTATTACTTATTGCTCGCTACATGATAGTTCTCCGTGATAAACAATTACCTTTCCGCTTCTTAATCTACCCAATTACAAATAACTTACAATAGCTAATATTGTTATACAATAATAATAATAATGTTGTTTTATAATACAGTTTGAGTGGTCAGCGCGGTTCACGATTAATTTATCCTCGGAATGGAGTCCCTGAGTGATGGATTTCTAAGTGGATTTACAAATGTTCAATGGGTCGCGATCGAAAGAAGGGTCTAATGATGTACTGGTACGGTGGGGGCTGATTTTCAAGCCGAGTGCAGCGTCCTTAACTGTGGATGATGATGGAGGTAAATAGTAAATGTGAGCAAGGTGAAAATCAGGCTGAAAGAGTTCTCGTTCGACGCCGCGCTAGAATCGTCGTAATCGTCTCCTTCGTTTCCGTTGGTTTCTTTGCGACCCCGCAATTTTAAATCTGTAAGAAGAAATTGTTATACTGTTACGGATTTATGTACCAAAATATATATTTAGTGACATGTAAAGTGGTACATACGACAGGCTGATAAAGACTATAATTAGCAAAACGTTCAGTTCCTTTATCAGATGCGTGGGTCAATTGAAAAGTTCTTGAAACGAAATGGAAAGGCAGTTTACTTATATTGTTTTCAAATTATTTTTATTTTTTAATATAATCCTCTTTAATGTGAATGTACTTGGACCAACTATGTTTCAAAGTCGCGATGCCATCACAAAACTCCCGGTTTGTCAAGACCAGCAAAATATTCATCAACAGTTTCCGTAACTTCCTTATCCGACAAGAATTTTTTTTTCACCAGGGAATCTTTTTAACCGTGGGAATAGATAGAAGTCGGAGGCACATAAATCTGGCGAATAAGGTTCATGTGGTAATAAATCGTACTTTAATTTATTGATTTTAGATTCAAATTCGTTTCTGATCGATTGTTGGAAGACACGGCATAGAACGTGGATGCATATTTGTTTAAATAGGTGTGTACGAAATACCAAGTAGCAGAATAATTTTATGTGCTATAGTTATTCACGTGACAAATGAAAATCTGTAATAAACTACAAATTTCAGAACTTCCACTGCCATCTTGTACTTTATTTCGAGAATTTTTCAAATGACCCGCGTGTTTATGAATATACAGGGTGTCCTATTTTTTCCCGATCAAACTTTGTTAGTATGTTCTATGAGCATAAGAAAGAAAAAAATGTTACATAAACGTAGATCGTTTGAAGCCTTATTAAAAAGTTATAATAATAATACGAAGTACGAAGAGGATGGTAACGAATTTGAGGTTATAATATAAAATAGGAATAGATCAGCGATATAAACATCTACAATATTTAGTCTGTTTATGAAAGCTGTATTTACGATCTGATGTCAAAGATGTTGAATGAATCTTTTGCCAGTGCTGTTCTTTGTTTTGTATCATAGCAACCGCAAGTTCGTTTCCATTCGCTTCCTATTGTATTTTTGTTATAACACTTTAACAAAGCTTCAAACGACCTGTATTTATATAACATTTTTTTTCATACTTATACCCATAGAACATACTGAGAAAGTTTGATTGAAACAAATTTACCCTGTATATAGAAAAGCGTGTATACACGAAATATAGCTCGATGCAAGATATAAGTATGTAAGAAAGTTCTAAAACTGTTCAGTACATTATTTAAATTTTGATTTGTATTCTTTATGACTTCCTTTATATTAACATGAATTTCAATAATATAAACTCGTTAAAGTTGAAGTAAATAATTTTTTCTCGAGAGATTTGTAAATATGTGATAAAAGTATTAAAACTTAAATCTCGGAATTAAAGATAACAAAATACATTATTTTTAATTATTTCTACTATTAACTTTACTATTTCGTGCAATCCTATTTCATCTTCTAATTTTGACTAAGCAAAGTATTTATTTTCGTCATTTTGGAAGGCAAATGCGTGAAACGTATTCATACACGTCGTAATTATTCAATCATTTCACAATTAAATCGTTAGAAATTCAATTCTGTGACTTGTTTGTTATATCGCATAATATATATAAATTTTATATCGTATTATTATCGCTATGCTTACCTCTTTCTTTCAACATATCTTGATTTCCTTCAAAAATTTCGTTTCCTGAGTTGTGCCTCAGTTTTCCTGTAATAAAGTCAATATTCATAATTTAAGAATTTGAGTATGACATATGTATAACTACGATTATGATTATGTGCTATTTTAGAAATAATAGAAATTCCATGTTAGAAATAAGCATTATTTTACGAAAAGTTTCATTGAAAAGTGGAACAAGATATAACCTTTCTTTGTTATAGAACGAAAGTATTTAGTCCTGAAAATACTTGAAATATTATAAATGTTTTACGAGTGATTGTTTTCTCTACTACAGTTATTTCGTATGTTGTTTGCCATTCTTTTTTCCAATAGGAAAGTGGACAGGGAAAAGAAAAAAATGGGATCAAGCATTTTCATCTCGTTTATTCGAGCAAAGAGGTGGAACCAATGCTGACGTTAAATACGGATGAAAATGGAAAAATGCGGTTGCTTTTTCGCCGCAACCAGAAAACCGATCGGACATTTTGTCGAAGTAGGAACCTAAATTCGTTTGTCTCCGTGAAAAATGCATCTTAGAGTCGTGTATTTTCTCACGTAATGAGGGAAAGGAATGAGAACAGTGTCTTTAGGGAGCGATAGGAGAAAGTAACGCAGATTGTCAGGATGTTCGAGGAACAATTGACATGTTCTTCTGTATTGTTAGTGGAAATTTTCACTTGTCCATTTGCACGCTCTGCGCTTTTTCGATCATATTCTTTGATTAAATTGCTTCGTAATATTTGTATTCGTGATTCTAGTAGAAGAAATAATGAAATAGAAGCATGTTCACTGAATTCTATAAAATTATTGAATGTTTATTAAACGAAGATTAAATTTTAAAAGATAGTATCATATAATATGTCCACCAGAATATACAACGTGTTCACACTGTTAGGTTCCAGTGTTTGTTGTTTTTTGGAGGTGGTAGATTTGTGAGAAAAATAGAAGAGGGCAATTTCACTATTTTTTATATGCGATGGCTTTAATAGATTTGTCAAAATTACAATGGTTTTCGGGTAATGACAGTACTATGAATATTTTAAAATTCGTAGCTATAATTTTTTGTATATTATATGAAAACGGTCTCAGTTTTATAACGGCACCTAAAATGATACTAGACATTTAGAACTTTTATCGTATGCACTCTGTACTACGAAATTCCAGACTGAGTCATTTTTTTTGGCAACTTAATTTTTAGGTTTGCTTCACATTCAATGAATGTCCTAATACTTATGAACGGGAGAGTGTTTGTGGTATCATAAGTAAATGAATTGAATTTTTCTAGATATATGAAACTGACTTTATGTGAAACATTATACAGGATGGGCCACATAAAACAGGCCATCTAATTATCTTCTCTAGTTATAGTGGCACGAGAAAATTTTTATACGTACTTTAAATGGTTTGAAAGGATGAACAAGGTGGAAGAAAATTTTTTTTATTGGTGCTACTTTTCTCTGTTCTTTTCAAGGCCACGCATATTTGTATACATGAATGAATATTTTTTTTTTCGTTGATGTGCATTTAATATAACCTTAAAATGACTTTGGACTCTAAAATTTTAAGTCAAATATGAAATTTCATTTCATTTTTGGTCATTTCTTCCATCAACTAAATTTTTCTTCTATTAGATTATCCCACAAATTCGTGTCTAATTTTATAATTTAGATCAATATTTTTAACGAACCTTCAAAATTTGATAAAAAAAAAGGGCCTTCTCATTCCACAACTTTTTTCCCAATTTTTTTTTTTGTAAGACTATTATGTTCTCGCTACAGAATTTCCTTAGATTTTCATTAAAATGTTTTTCGTTTTCGGCACGAACTTATGTGATGACCTAATATCTCATTCACCCTTTGAAACCTCTTAAATTACGTATAAAAAATGTCTCGTACTACCATAGCTAGAAAAAACAATTAGGTAGTCTGTTTTATCTGGCCCACCATATATAATCAATTTTTGGGTAAAGATCGAAAAAACTAGCCGTTACGGTTTGAATTGACTTCGACTCTTGGACGTTTCCGTAGTTGACGATACTAAAGCCTTATGCCTTGAATATTTAACCGGTGAACACCGATGTTCCATTTTGTTTTCGCGATTTTGTTTGTTGGTAATACTGCGATATTTGTTCTAAATCCCGAGGCAGGTACTTGTGCACAGAAGAGCGGACAGAGTTCAATAAAGTTGACTTATAGCTCCAAACGGCTTTATAAATCTTCCATCGAACGCAACGTCGCCTCTCAATCTGTTAGCATCAAAATATTTTGCATATATCGATTTCCGACCTTGGAGTGTACACGCAAATGCGGCTGGACGTTGAGCCAATAATAAATCCTGGTTTTTTCATTACAATAGGACAAAGGGTATTCATGAAATGAAAACGTAAGGGATGCTCTTATTAATATACAACCTAGTATTGCTTTCATCCTTTCAATTCATTATTTAAGTTGAAAAAAGAGGGTAGGAATTATCATTACATGTGGATTTATCATCTCTTGTGAAAGGTGTTGTAAAAGGTTTTACAAATTAAGGGTTAAAAAATTTGAAAAAATGTTACAAACTTTGAACGGTACTTTAAGAATTTTTTATTTTATACACAAAAATTTAGAAATAGTACTGCACGTGTACTATTATAAAATACGATTGCCCCAATAATTTAAGGATACTACGAAAAATTTATCAACATGATTGACATTTAGTGAGATTTAAATTTCGCCATCCAGAAAGTACGAATATAGTAGCTAGAAATTGTTAGCTGAATTTGGAAAAATAATCGATATGCAATTTGAGAAGAACGTGAACGTTTTTAAAAAATGTATCCATTCATCTAATTTTTAACATTCTATGCTACGAAGCAGCGAATCTCGTTAATTTGCTAAGCAAAACTATTATACTTATGAAAGTAATATTCATAACTTCAAGGAGTATTTGTCATTGCATAGTTTTAACTGAATTTTAAATGATTTGTCTTGACATTCCGAAATTTATGCGCGCTAATGATAAATAGTTTAAAAAATAGATATGTATTACTGATTACATAAATTCAAAAAATTCGATAAATTTTCACTCATCTGCATAAAAGATTGAGACTACAAAAAAAATAGACTCATCTACATAAAATAGTTCCCATACAATGAAATTAATCAATATAGTTGAGATATTTAAGTTTATACAGATTATAAATCATCCAGAAAGTATAAGATTATGAAAATGAAGAAATCCTTCTATTGTTCATTTTTCAAAGAAAATCCCTGATAAAATATATATATGGTATAAATGAAAAGAATTTTCGTACGGAACTGCTTCAAAGGGAAAATAGATAATAGGCATGAAGGTAGAATATGAGACTATTTATATTTTAAGAAGGTAACATGCAAAAATATAAACGAAAACGTTCTTTGAAATTTGATGAAATGATAAACTAAAGATTATAATGTTATCTCGCTTGAAAATATAATTAATGTTGAAAATTGATGTCTGCACATATAATGATAGCTAGAAGTTAAATATTATATTAATAATAAGAAATATTAAAACCCAAGATTATAAAGTGAAATCTTTGGGAAATTTAATTAAGGAGAACTTTTGCATGCAGAATCAAAAATATAGTAAACAAAATGAAGGTTTAATGTTATTCGAAATTTTTCCTGAATTTATCATTCATATAGGATGGAACGTCAAATATTCGCAGGAGTTTCGGCAATTTGTGCATGCATTTAAAAACAAACAGGAAGTTTAGCAAAAGCCTTGCGTTTTCCTCCAAGGGAAAAGGGTTTGATGAACAAGGTGTAAGTTCAAAATGGCATTCAACCGTGGCTTTTTATGGAGGCGTTCTTCTAAACGTCTAGTTCCTCTGAAATGGGTTCTATCGACTTTTGTACGTCTTTTTCGCAACCAGCTGCCTGTCGAGAGCAAATGAGATGGTCGGCTTGTAAATCTGACACGGCGGTTCCTATTCATTCACGATTTCACACAGAAATAGTTCCGTCTCGACTTGAAAAACGAGCGCCGCGAACACGTCGAGCTAGAACTGTCCTTAAAAAGATTTTAAGCAGTCAGGTTACATGTATAGAATCTTACAAATTTTTCTGCAGAGAGTACGATATTATCAATATTTCCGTATATGATTAAAAAAAAAAACTGCGTGTAAAATGTCAACCTTAAAATGCAAGCTGGTAAAACTTCTATAAATACTATATATAATAGAAGAATCTACGTCTTTCTGATGACATTTATTTTTAAGAAGGAAAGTTCAGTAACCTGATAATTCAAGAAAACTTAAAACTTTGTACAAATATAGTTCAACGATGCTAATAACGAAACCATTTTTTATTTTGGCAATAAAACGGCCGTAGCAGCGAGAACACCCCTTCAAAGAAATTGTGAGTTTTTATATTATTGGGAATATTTACAAAACCGTCGAAGATATGGAGAAAAAGTGAAAATACAGAGTTATGTGGTTTTTGATGCCCTACGAAATGGTGGTAAAGAATTAAAAAAATACATGGTGAGGGTATATTTTGAAAAAGAAAAAGTTTTTCTAAAATTATTTACCACCATAATGTAGGGCATAAAAAACCACACAACATCGAATTTAACTTTTTTTTCCATATCTTGTACGGTTTTGTAAATATTCACGACAATATGAAAAGTCACAATTTTTTTTTTAAACGGTGTTTTTACTCTTAGGACCGTTTTATTTTTCCGGTATTAGCGTCACTTGAACTACATTTCTGCAAAGTTTGACATTTTTTTGAATTTCCTCGTTGCCGAACTTCCCTTGTAAGTCATTGTGCTATTTTTCTGAAAGGACAATTCATTTTACAATAACAGAGCGTATTTACTATACTACCTTCAAATATTACAATACGCTCGAGAAGTAATGTGTGTGTCTGTAAATTCGTGGTTTCTGGCTTTAAAGCAAACATCAGAATCGAAAAACTACAGAAAGGACAAACAAGAGGTATTATGATAGAGTGATTAAACCATATTGTATGTTTTATCCTTCGCTAGCCTTGAGCGACCAATTCAATTTACACAGGAGATAC